CATGTCATGCTGCGCTGTGCTATGCTAAGCTATGCTATGCTATGCTATGCTATGCTATGCTAAGCTGCGCTATGCTATTCTATGCTATGCTGTGCTATGCTATGCTGCGCTATGCTATGCTATGCTATGCTATGCTATGCTATGCTATGCTATGCTATGCTATGCTTGGCTATGTTATGCTATGCTATGCTATGGTAATGCAGCGCTGCGCTATGCTAAGCTAAGCTAAGCTAACCCTCTAGGCAGAGCCTAGGTAGTGAACTACACCCTTGCTTTGCCTTTCCTTTGCTTTGCTTTTGCTTTTGCGTTGCTTTGCTTTGGTTTGCTTTGCTTTGCTTTGTTTTGCTTTGCGTTGCTTGTGCTTTGCTTTGCTGTCGCTGCTGTTGCTTTGCCTTTGCTTTGCTGCTGTGCTATGCTATGCTCTGCTATGCTATGCTATGCTGCGCGGTGCTATGCTGTGCTGTGCTGTGCTGCGCTATGCTATGCTATGCTATGCTGTGCTATGCTGGGCTTTGCTATGATATGCTGCGCTGCGCTGTGCTGTGCTACGCTCTGCTATGCTATGCTGTGCTCTGCTATGCTAAAGCTCGGCGAAGCTAAGATGAAGGTAAGCTAAGCTAAGATAAACCTGAACTAAGATGAAGCTAAACTGAGCTGAGATGAAATAAGCTAAGCTAAGATGAGATAAGCAACGCTAAGCTAAGGGAACGTCACTGGGGGAACCGCGGGGCGGATCCTGGGGGAACCGCCCGGGGCGGGGAGCACTGCCCGGCCCTTTAAGCATACAGGGTAAGAACCCTTCTAGGCAGAGCCTAGGTAGGGAAAAGGAACCGCCCTCCATCCGTGAAGCTCTTACATTTTTAAACAAGACAGTTAGCCTGGCGAAAAACCCAACCATGTGCAGCTGTGAACACCGTCGTTGTATGAACCGCATTCGGTGGAGCTCCCTATGCGGCCACGAAGCGTGTGAGAGGTGTACCAAAGTGGGTGCGGTGGCCGCTGGCGTTTGGGCCTTCGGTGGGGCTCCCTACAGAGCCACGAAGCGTGAGAGGGGTGTCCCAAAATGGGTGCGGTGGCCGCATGCGAACGCTGACATTTGGGCCTGCGGTGGGGCTCCATATGGAGCCACGAAGCGTGTGAGGGGTGTGCCCAAATGGGTGCGGTGGCCGCATGCGGACGCTGGCATTTGTGCCTTCGGGGGGGATCCCCATGAGGCCACGAAGCGTGTGAAGGGTGTGCCAAAATGGGCGCAGTGCCCGCATGCGAGCGCTGGCGTTTGGGCCTTCTGTGGGGCTCCCTATGGGGCCACGAAGCGTGTGAGAGGTGTGCCCAAATGGGTGCGGTGGCTGCATGCGAGCGCTGGCATTTGGGCCTTCGGTGGGGCTCCCTATAGAGCCACCAGGCGTGTGAGGGGTGTGCCAAAATGGGTGCGGTGGCTGCATGCGAGCGCTGGGATTGGGGCCTTCGGTGGGGCTCCTTGTGGGGCCACGAAACGTGTGAGGGGTATGCCGAAATGGGTGCGTTGGCCGCATGCGAAAGCTGGCATTTGGGTTTTCGGTGGGGCTCCCTATGGGGCCACGAAGCGTGTGAGAGGTGTGCCCAAATGGGTGCGGTGGCTGCATGCGAACGCTGGCATTTGGGCCTTCGGTGAGGCTCCCTATAGAGCCACGAGGCGTGTGAGGGGTGTGCCGAAATGGGTGTGCGTGACGCATGCGGGCGGTGGCACTGGGGCCTTCGGTGGAGCTCCCTATGGGGCCACGACGCGTGTGAGGGGTGTGCCGAAACACGTGTGCGTGACGCATGCGGGTGGTGGCATTGGGGCCTTCGGTGGAGCTCCTTGTGGGGCCACGAGACGTGTGAGGGGTGTGCCGAAATGGGTGTGCGTGACGCATGCGGGCGGTGGCACTGATGCCTTCGGTGGAGCTCCCTGTGGGGCCACGAAGCGTGTGATGGGGTGTGCCGAACTAGGTGTGCGTGGCGCATGCAGGCGGTGGCACTGGGGCCTTCGGTGGAGTTCCTTGTGGGGCCGCGAAACGTGTGAGGGCTGTGCCGAAATGGGTGTGCGTAACGCATGCTGGCGGTGGCACTGGGGCCCTCGGTGGAGCTCCCGCGTTTGGGCCTTCTGTGGGGCTCCCTATGGGGCCACGAAGCGTGTGAGAGGTGTGCCCAAATAGGTGCGGTGGCTGCATGCGAACGCTGGCATTTGGGCCTTCGGTGGGGCTCCCTATAGAGCCACGAGGCGTGTGAGGGGTGTGCCAAACTGGGTGCGGTGGCTGCATGCGAGCGCTGGGATTGGGGCCTTCGGTGGGGCTCCTTGTGGGGCCACGAAACGTGTGAGGGGTATGCCGAAATGGGTGCGTTGGCCGCGTGCGAAAGCTGGCATTTGGGTTTTCGGTGGGGCTCACTATGGAGACACGAAGCGTGTGAATGGTGTGCCAAAATGGGTGTGCGTGACGCATGCGGGCGGTGGCACTGGGGCCTTCGGTGGAGCTCCTTGTGGGGCCACGAAACGTCTGAAGGGTGTGCCAAAATGGGTGTGCGTGAAGCACGCGGGCGGTGGCACTGGGGCCTTCGGTGGAGCTCCATATGGGGCCACGAAGCGTGTGAGGGGTGTGCCAAAGTGAGGGGGTGACGGGAGGAGAGAGGAGGGGGGAGGAAGGACGGCAGGAAGGAAGGAAGGTAGGACGAAGGAAGGAAGGAATGAAGGAATGAAACAACGCAGGGATCGTCTCTTCTAAGCAAAGACCCGCGACCACAGGATGGTTGGGACACATTGGCCTCGTGGCCCGACACGGAGAAGTTATTCATAAGGAAAATAGTGGAGGAGGGGTAGAAGGATGAGGAGGAGGACGAAGAGGAAGAGGAGGAGAAGAATGAGGAGGAGGAGGACTAGGACTGCGGGGATGATCATGATGAGGAGGAGGAATACAAATACTTTCAAGAAGAAGACCAAGTATACTAGTAATACTATTCGCAGTCTGAATAATGATACGATTGTAATCAGCAGGAATACGAATCATACTAAACGTACTCACACTATTGATACTGAATCTATCCACACTAGTAAATGCGAAGCGTACTGGCTTACAACACTGATGCTGAAAATGACTCACAATACGACTACGACTACTCCTGCTACTACTATTACTACTACAACTTCTGCTACTACTACTTCTACTGCTACCACTACCAGTACTACTACTACTACTGCTACTACTACTACTGCTACTACTACTACTGCTACTACTACTACTACTACTACTACTGCCACTACTACTACTACTACTACTACTACTACTACTACTACTACTACTACTACTACTACGACTACGACTACGACTACGACTACGACTACTACTACTACTACTACTACTACTACTACTACTACTACTACTACTACTACTACTACTACTACTACTATACTACTACTACTACTACTACTACTACTACTACTACTTCTACTACTACTACTACTACTACTACTACTACTACTACTACTACTACTACTACTAACTACTACTACTGTACTTTTACTACTGACTACTACTACTACTACTATACTACTACAACACTTGCTGCTATACTACTACGACTACTAGTACTAGTACTACTAGTACTACTACTACTACTACTACTACTACTTCTACTACTACTACTACTATTACTACGGCTACTGCTGCTACTAGTACTACTACTACTACTACTACTCCTGCTGCTGCTGCTGCTACTACTACTACGACGACGACTACTACTACGGCTACTACCACCAATATTCCTAATACTCCTGCTGCTGCTGCTACTACTACCACTACTACTACTACTACTACTACTACTACTACTACTACTACTACTACTACTACTACTACTACTACTACTATTAGTACTACTAGTACTACTACTACTACTACTGCTACTGCTACTGCTACTGCTACTGCTACTGTTACTATTATTATTACTACTACTACTACAACCACAACTACTACTGCTACTACTACTACTACTACTACTACTACTACTACTACTACTACTAGAATTACAAACTATACTAATACTACTTAATACTTACTCACTACTAACTACTACTACTGCTGCGCATTTACTACTTTACACTACGACTAATACCACTACTACTACTACTACTACTACTACTACTACTACTACGACGACTACTACTACTACTACTACTACTACTACTACTACGACTACTACTACTACTACTACTACTACTACTACTACTACTACTACTACTACTACTACTACTACTACTACTACGTACTACTACTACGTACTACTATCACTACTAGTACTAATATTAATACTATGATGAATAATCATATTATGAATAATAACACGGAATCGTCATCTCACTACCAATGATAATACGATGAATAAAACTAGCAGTAATGATAGTCAGAAGAGGGGGAGGAGGAGGAGGAGGAGGAGGAGGAGCAGCAGGAGGAGGAGGGGGAGGAGGAGGAGTACGGAGTACAGAGGACGGAGGAAGGAGTCAGGAGGACAGGGGGAGAAGGAAGGAGGAAGGAAGAAGGAGGGAGGAGGAGGAAGGATGGAGGAAGGAGCAAGGCGAAAGTAGGAAGGACTAAGGACGAAGGAGGAAGGAGGAATGAGGAAGGATAAAGGAGCAAGGAGGAAGGAAGAAGGTGGAAGGAGAAAGGGAAAGAAAAAGGAGGAAGGAGGAAGGAGGCAAGAGGAAGGAGGAGAAGGAGGAGGAGGAAGGATAGGAGGAGGAGGAGGAGGAGGAGGAGGAGGAGCGTGTAGGAGGGAGTGAGGAAGGATAGGGGAGGAGGGGAGGAGGAGGAGGAGGAGGAAGAGGAGGAGAGGAAAGGAGGGAGGAGGAGGCGAGGGAGGGTTGATGAGGAGGAGGAGGAAGAGGACGAGAAGGAGGAGGAGGAGGAGGAGGAGGAGGAGGAGAGCGTTCAACGCCCAGATCTCAGGGTAGTGCTCTCCCCTGAGCTGTCCGCCCCTGTTGCGGCCGCCGAGCAAGCGCGACGGCGAGGCCGCGGCCTTGCGGGCGGCGCGGGCGGCGCTGGAGGCGGAGCGGCGCGCGGCGCGGGGCCGGTGCGAGCAGCTCCAGGCGGAGGTGCACGCCCGCACCTCCGAGGCGCGAGCCTTTGCCGGCTCGGTCACCATCATCATCATCATCATCATCATCATCATCATCATCATCATCATCATCATCATCATCATCATCATCATCCTCATCCTCATCCTCATCCTCATCATCATCATCACCATCATCATCATCATCATCATCTCATCCTCATCCTCATCCTCATCCTCATCCTCATCCTCATCCTCATCCTCATCCTCATCCTCATCCTCATCCTCATCATCCTCACCATCATCATCATCATCATCACCATTATCATCGTCATCACCTCCACCATCATCATCACCACCATCATCATCATCACCAGCCGCACTATAACCAACACCATCATCATCACCACCATCATCATCATCACCAGCATCCTCCTCATCCTCCTCATCATCATCCTCATCATCATCATCATTCTCAATAGCAATCAGCATCATTGTCATCATCGTCACTATCGTCATTGTCATTGCCTTCATCATTAGCATTATCGCCACCATCATCATTACCACCGGTAACATCAACATCCGCATCCTCATCCTCATCCCCATCCTCATTCTCCATCTCATCCTCATCCTCATCTTCTTTCTCATCCTCATCCTCATCCTTATCCTCATCCTCATTTCCATCACCACCATCATTATCATCATCCTCACCATCAACATCATCATCATCATCACTCAATTGCAGCAGCATAATCATAAACATCAGCAGGGCCATCCGCATCAATATCAGCACCAACATCGTTCATCAACATCATCGCAGCCATCAGCATCAGCATTAGCATCACTGTCAGCATCAGCATCAGCAGCATCATCGCCATCATCATCAGACGTAGCAGTAGCATCATCATTATCATCATCATCATCACCATCAGCATCAGCAGCATCAGCATCATCCTCATCATGATCATCAGCACCAGCATCAACATCAGCATCATCATCATTATCATCATCATCAGCATCATTATCATCATCATCATCATCACCGGCATCATCATTATTATCATCATTTTCATCATCATCGGCATCATCCATCATCTCATCATCATCATCATCATCATCATCATCACCATCATCACCATCATCATCATCATCATCGTCATCGTCATCGTCATCGTCATCGTCATCATCGTCATCGTCATCGTCATCATTTCCAGGTCCCAGGTCCATATTCGGTTCGATCGATTAGGTTTGATGCTGCAGTGCAACAGTTGGAGCGTCGGAAAACAAAGGGCTCGACTTCGCCGACATTCGCGCGTAAGCTTCCCGCGTACGCAATGCTTTGTCGACAGCTCTCGAATGCAGCCCTCTCCTATGCTACAGCCCGAACTGTACTGCGGGTGCTGACTCCCTGGGGCGCGAATCCCTTTGCACGGCGTCCCTCGCTCAGGCCATGTGCCTGTTCACGAAGCCGATGTTGCACCCACGCTTCACCCTGTGCTCGGGACCGATCGTTTGTCCAGGCGCTCTGGGTGAGCTTTCGCCGACCGCGTCGCCTGACTGGCGGAAGCGCGGGAGCGGGCGGAGCCAGGGGTGCCCGCGGCTCCGTCGCGCCATGTGCGTGTACCCCCTGGCGCGGCTGTTCTCCCCTTCCCCAAGCCCTCGCCTCCATGCACAGCTGCGGCGGCGGGAGGAGTGGGGAGGGAGGGACTGGAGGGACTTACAATGGCTATGGCTTGCTGATTGAGATCTTTTCATAGTAGGGTTCGAGCATACGGCTACCGAAACATCTCGATGCCAACTCCTCGGAAACTTGGTGTCCCACTTCGAGGGGCTGTTACTGGGACATGCGGGGTAAGGAAACATCATCCGCTGCCCCGAGGGACTCGCGCTGCACTGCTCGACTCTATCCTGCGGAGGGGCTTACACAATGGCCGTGGCTCTCCCTCCTGCCAGCCCGCGCGCGCAGGAGCAAAAGGAGGCATGCCGGGGCCCTCCTCCTCCTCCGCCTCCTCCGCCTCCTCCTATTCCTCCTCCTCCTCCTCCTCCTCCTCCTCCTCCACCCCGTGCCAATGGTGCGCAGGGCTCCTGTTGGGTAGTCGGGCGAGGACGCACGGGGCGCCTGTGAGGAGACCGTCGATCTCCGAAGAGCATCTTGCCCGAGCCCTCTAGAGTTACACCACCGGGGCGACACAGGCAATCCGGTCATGCGTTGACCCCTCATGCCCTGACCCCCCATGCTGGGGGCCTTGGCTGGCCCCTCATGCGTTGACCCCCTCATGCTGGGGCATTGGCCCTTCATGCGTTGACCCCTCATGCCAGGGCTTCAGCCTTTCATGTGTTGACCCCTCATGCCCTGACCCCCCATGCTGGGGCCTTGGCTGGCCCCTCATGCGTTGACCCCCCCAGGCTGGGGCATTGGCCCTTCATGCGTTGACCCCTCATGCCAGGGCTTCGGCCTTTCATGCGTTGACCCCTCATGCCCTGACCCCCCATGCTGGGGCCTTGGCTGGCCCCTCATGCGTTGACCCCCTCATGCTGGGGCATTGGCCCTTAATGCGTTGACCCCTCATGCCAAGGCTTCAGCCTTTCAAGCGTTGACCCCTCATGCCCTGACCCCCCATGCTGGGGGCCTTGGCTGGCCCCTCATGCGTTGACCCCCTCATGCTGGGTCATTGGCCCTTCATGCGTTGACCCCTCATGCCAGGGCTTCGGCCTTTCATGCGTTGACCCCTCATTCCCTGACCCCCAATGTTGGGGCCTTGGCTGGCCCCTCATGCGTTGACCCCCTCATGCTGGGGCATTGGCCCTTTATGCGTTGACCCCTCATGCCAGGGCTTCGGCCTTTCATGCGTTGACCCCTCATGCCCTGACCCCCCATGCTGGGGACCTTGGCTGGCCCCTCATGCGTTGACCCCTCATGACTGGGCTTCGCCTTCATGCGTTGACCCCCTCTTGCACGCGCATTTCGGCTTTCATGCGTTGACTTCCATGCCTGACACCCCCATGCTGGGCCTTGGCTGGCCCCTATTGCGTTGACCCCCTCATGCTGGGGCATTGGCCCTTCATGTGTTTACCCTCATGCCAGGGCTTCGGCCTTGCATGCGTTGACCCCTCATGCCCTTACCCCCCATGCTAGGGGCTTTGGCTGGCCCCTCATGCGTTGACCCCCTCATGCTGGGGCATTGGCCCTCTATGCGTTGACCCCTCATGCCAGGGCTTCGGCCTTTCATGCGTTGACCCCTCATGCCCTGACCTCCCATGCTGGGGCCTTTGCTGGCCCCTCATGTGTTGACCCTCTCATGCTGGGGCATTTGCCCTTCATGCGGTGATCCCTCATGTCAGGCCTTCGGCCCTTCATGTGGTGACCCCTCATGTCCTGACTCCCCATGCTGGGGCCTTGGCTGGCCCCTCATGCGTTGACCCCCTCATGCTGGGGCATTGGCCCTTCATGCGTTGACCCCTCATGCCAGAGGGGGAGGCCTTCATGCGTTGACCCCTCATGCCCTGACCCCCCATGCTGGGGCTTTGGCTGGCCCCTCATGCGTTGACCCCCTCATGCTGGGGCTTTGGCCCTTCATGCGCTGACCCCTCATGCCAGGGCTTCGGCCTTTCATGCGTTGACCCCTCATGCCCTGACCCCTTCTTGCTGGGGCCTTGGCTGGCCCCTCATGCGTTGACCCCCTCATGCTGGGGCATTGGCCCTTCATGCGTTGACCACTCATGCCAGGGCTCCGGCCTTTCATACGTTGACCCCTCATGCCCTGACGCCCCATGCTGGGGGCCTTGGCTGGCCCCTCATGCGTTGACCCCCTCATGATGGGGCATTGGCCCTTCATGCGTTGACCCCTCATGCCAGGGCTCCGGCCTTCCATACGTTGACCCCATCATGTCCTGACCCCCCATGCTGGGGCTTTGGCTGGCCCCTCATGCGTTGACCCCCTCATGCTGGGGCATTGACCCTTCATGCGTTGACCCCTCATGCCAGGGCTCCGGCCTTTCATGCGTTGACCCCTCATGCCCTGACCCCCCCATGCTGGGGGCCTTGGCTGGCCCCTCATGCGTGACCCCCTCATGCTGGGGCAGTTGCCCCTTCATGCGGTGGACCCCCGTCATGCAATATTTTCCCTTCTTTCCCAGTCCCCTATCTTTGGGGCTTCGGCCTCCACATCCCTGACCCCCATGCTGGGGCCTGGCTAACTGTCATGCGTGACCCCCTCATGCTGGGGGCATTGGCCCTTCAGCGTGGACCCCTCATGCCGGGGCTTCGGCCTTTCATGCGTTGACCCCTCATGCCCTGACCCCCCATGCTGGGTCCTTGGCTGGCCCCTCATGCGTTGACCCCCTCATGCTGGGGCATTGGCCCTTCATGCGTTGACTCCTCATGCCAGGGCTCCGGCCTTTCATACGTTGACCCCTCATGCCCTGACCCCCCATGCTGGGGCCTTGGCCCTTCATGCGTTGACCCCTCATGCCAGGGCTTCGGCCTTTATGCTTTGACCCCTCATGCCCTGACCCCCCATGCTGGGGCCTTGGCTGGCCCCTCATGCGTCGACCCCCTCATGCTGGGGCATTGGCCCTTCACGCGTTGACCCCTCATGCCAGGGCTTCGGCCTTTCATGCTTGATTTTTTTTATGCCGACCCCACATGCTGGGGCCTTGGTTGGCCCCTCATGCGTGACCCCCTCTGCTGGCGCATTGGCCCTTATGCACGTTGACCCCCATGCCAGGGCTCGGTCTGTCATGCGTTGACCCCTCATGCCCTGACCCCCCTGCTTAGGGCCTGGGATGGCCCCTCATGCGTCCTTGACCCCCTCATGGCTGGGCTTATTGGCCCATCATGCGTTGACCCCTCATGCCAGGGCTTCGGCCTTTCATGCGTTGACCCCTCATGCCCTGACCCGCTTGGGCTTGGCTGGCCCCTCATGCGTTGACCCCCTATGCTGGGGCATCTGGGCCCTCATGCTTTGACCCCTCATGCCAGGGCTTCGGCCCCTCATGTCCTGACCCCCTCTTGCTGGGGCCTTGGCTGGCCCCTCATGCGTTGACCCCCTCATGCTGGGGCATTGGCCCTGCATGCGTTGACCTCTTCTGCTGGGGCTTCGGCCTCTCATGCCCTGACCCCCTCATGCTGGGGCCTTGGCTGGCCCTTCATGCGTTGACCCCTCATGCTGGGGCATTGGCCCTTCATGCGTTGACCTCTCATACCGGGTCTTCGACCCCCCATGCTATGACCCCTCATGCTGGGGCATTGGCCCTTCATGCGTTGACCCCTCATGCCGGGGCTTCGGCCCCTCATGCGTTGACCCCCTCATGCTGGGGCATTGGCCCCTCATGCGTTGACCCCCTCATGCTGGGGCATTGGCCCTTCATGCGTTGACCCCTCATGCGGTGGTTTAGCATGCCACCATTGTTAGCATGCCAGCATTACCCGTGCCTTAACCGACATCCGTGACAATCCTCCTTCTCCTCCTCCTTCTCCTCCGCCTCCCTTCTCCTCCTCCCTCCTCCTCCTCCTCCTCCTCCTCCTCCTCCTCCTCCTTCTCCTCCTCCTCCTGCCTCCTTCCTCCTGCCTCCTTTCATTTCTCATTCCTCCTCCTTCCTCTTCCTCCTGCTCAATGTCTGCCTCGATCTCGATGCACGGGCCCCGCGCCTCGTCCTTCTTCCCCCCCCTCGCGTCGGAAGGAGGCGTCGCGCCGCGGGAGTTTTTTGTTTGTTTTGTTCTGCTCCTCCTCCTCCTTCCTCGTTTCCCCCTCCCCTCCTCCTCCTCCCTCCTCCTCTATCTCCTCTCCTCTATCTCTCCGTGCCCTTCCTCCCCCCTCCTCTCCCCCCCACCGCAACCTCGTCCTCCTCCTCCTCCTCCCCTCCTCCGTCTCCCTCCTAACTGCCTCCTCCTCCTCTCCTCCTCCTCCTCCTCCTCCTTCCTCCTCCTCCTCCTCCTTCTCATTCTCCTCCTCATCGCTCGGCCCTCCTCCTCCTCTCCTTCTCCTCCTCCTCCATCCTCCTCCTCCTCCTCCTCCGTCTCCCTCCTCCTCCTCCGTCTCACCTCCTCCTCTCCCTCCTCACTCACTCCTCCTCCTCCTCCTCCTCCTCCTTCCCCTCCTCCTCCTCCTCCTTTCGTCTCCCTACCTCCTCCTCCTACCTCCTCCCCTTCCCTCCTTCTCCTCCCTCCCTCCCCTCCCGTCCTCCTCCTCCTCCTCCTCCTCCCCCTCCCCCTCCCCCTCGCTGATCCTCCTCCTCCTCCCTCCTCCTCCTCCTCCTCTCCTCTCCTCCTCCGGTCCTCCTCCTCCTCTCCTCCTCCCTCCTCCGGCTACCTTCCTACTCCCTCCTTCCCCTCCTCCTCCTCCTCCTCCTCTCCTCCTCCTCCTCCTCCTCCTCCTCCCCCCCCCTCCTCCTCCTCCTCCTCCTCCTCCTCCTCCTCCTCCTTCCCCTCCTCCTCCTCCTCCTCCTTTTCTCCTTCCTCCTCCTTCCCCTCCTCCTCCTCCTCCTCCTCCTCCTCCTCCTCCTCCTCCTCTTCCTCTCAGCCCCTGGGGGCCCTCGCTAGGCCCAGGCACGGTCGGACGCGCGAAGCAGGACAAGCACCCGCGGGGGTCGTTGGAAGCGGGCATTTCTCCTCCTCCTCCTCCTCCTCCTCTTCCTCCTTCTCCTCCTCCTCCCGGAGCCGAACCTGCTTTCTCAAGGCGCCAGATCCCAGGCGCCGTCCCACCTCCTCCTCCTCTTCCTCTCAGCCCCTGGGGGCCCTCGCTAGGCCCAGGCACGGTCGGACGCGCGAAGCAGGACAAGCACCCGCGGGGGTCGTTGGAAGCGGGCATTTCTCCTCCTCCTCCTCCTCCTCCTCTTCCTCCTTCTCCTCCTCCTCCCGGAGCCGAACCTGCTTTCTCAAGGCGCCAGATCCCAGGCGCCGTCCCACTGCGGGCATCGAGTGCTCTTTCCTCCTCCTTCCTCTCCAGAGGGCGGGCGGAGGCCCAGTCTTCTTCCCCAGCGCCCTCCTGCGTCAGGTTTCTATGCCCGCTTCTCGTTCCGACCGACGGGTAGCCCGATTCTCGATCGATGCTCGATTCGATCGCTCCGGGTCGATGGCGGGTGCATCTTCCTCCTTCTCCTGTCTGTTTGTGAGTTTGGACCTCGGGATGGTCGGGGGACCGAATCTGGAAGGACTCGTCTTCATTGCTTTCTCCTTGCCGATTTCCTCTGGGCTTCTCCGCTCAGTCCCCCTGGCCGCCTCCAAAGCCAGGGCCCCGTGAGCCGGGCTCTTTTTCCCAGAGCCAGGACACTGTGGCACGCCCAACAAAACATTCTCCACATTCTCGCTCTCTGCTCTCTGCAGCCGGATCTGCCAAAGTCCTGGCTTGCAAGGTCCTCGTTCACGGGGCCTGGATTCGACTTCCCGGCGATCTGCTGCGGCCTGGTGCTTGCGTGGCGCAGTTGCGTGCCCAGGCGCGGCCGAGTCGATGCGACATCGTTTCCGAACCGATGCAGCCCGATCCGGTGCTTGTTCCGATCCCACTCGGAAGCTGGGCGAGGGCTGGCACATCCGTGGCTGCTAAAACGGTCTTCCTGGAAGAAAGAAAACCAATTCCCGGAAACAATCTCAGCACGCGAAGTAGTAAGCAGGCTGCTTCCCGGAAGAAACAAAAACAATATCCCGGAGCTCCATTGTAGCAGCCACGGGTTTGCCAGCCTGCGCCCAGCTTCTGACCCACCCGACCTCGCGATCCAAGGCCGGCCGATCCTGCTGAGGTCCAGGCCATGGAGGACGGCCACGGGCGGCTGGAGAGCGAGATCGCTTCGCACGGGCTCGAGCTCGGCGAGGTGGCCGCCGCCCTGTCCCTGACGGAGGAGCGTACCGGGCAGAAACATTCAGCCACGCGCAGGGGTGTGTGGGGGGAGGGGGCAGGGCTTCTTAGAAACACCCTTGCTTCTTAGAAGGCGCGGGCCTTATCTATAGATGTAAGGCCAGCGCCTTCTGAGAAGCCCTCCCCCCTTCCTCCACCCCCTTGTGCCAGCCGCCAAAACATATCACCATTCCTACGTAGCACCCCGCAGTTGTGGATAAGAGTGGGGGAGCGGGCGCGGGATGAGTCGCGGGTGGGTCGCCAGTGGGTCGCGGGGTGGGTGTCGCGGGTGGGTCGTGGGCGGGTCGCGGGCGAGGGCGACAATAGCAGCAATCCTTTTGAGACTGTTCGCTCTGATCTGCTCGTGCGTCACTCAACGGGCCCCCCTTGGGGGTATACCTCCCTTCCCTGCCACGTGCAGTTGGCGCAGCCCCTAAAAAGGGGGAAGGGGGAGGAGGAAAGAGACGAGGGGGAGGAGGACGAGACAGAGTAGCAGAAGCTGGGGAAGATATAATCACACGTGTTGACTCCTGATACTCTAGGGGGAGCATCGTTGCGCATCACACTCATCATAGAATGGAGCACGAAACAGAGTAGCAGAAAGCGGATTCGGAGCAGGAGTGCAGGCAGCAGAACCAGACGTGCGGGTCGGGCGGGCGGACCCTGTCGGGCGGGTCGGGCGAGCGGACCCAGACGGCCGGATCGACAGGGTGGGTCGCTGAAGCATCCTTCCCGCATGGATCGCAAGGAGGTCTCGAGCGATAGCGCGACGCGCAAGTAAATTGTAAGGAAGTCCAGGGCGAGAGCGTGATTCCGGAGTGTCGAGGGCACGGCATCCGAATAAATCGCGCAGAAGTTTCACGCGAGAGCGCGATTCCTGGATACATTGTGAGGAAATACCGCGCGAGAACGCGATTGTGAATACATGAGGAGGAAGTGTCAGGCGGGAGCCGCTGTTGCTGTGAACCAAGGGCCAGGAACACAATCTGAGGCTCAGTACCATAGCAAAAACAGGGTGCGAGCCCGGGGAGAAGCACTTTCATGAAAATCCCCACGCGCGGGAAGGAGGATCAACAATAGTTATATGTGAGAAATCAGAATTCAATAATTTTGAGACTGTGCGCTCTTATCAGCTCGCGTGCCACTCAACATGAATATCCCGAACCCTCGATACTCACCCTCCTCGTCTTCGATCATACCTCCTCGGGGATACATCTTCCTTGCCCTCCACGTGTAATGGCACAGCCCCTAAAGCAGGGGAAGGGTGGACGGGGGGAAGGAACAATGGAGAGGGATGATAATGGAGCACGAAAGAGAGAAACAGGAAAGGGATTCGGAGCAGGGGTGCAAGCTGCAGAACCAGACAGGCGGGTCGGGTGGGCGGACCCTATCGGGCGGGTCGGGCGAGCGGACCCAGCCGTATGGGTCGAGCGGGCGGGTCGTCGAAGCGTCAGTCCTGCATGGACCCAAGGAGGTTTCGAGTGATAACGCGATTCCCAAGTGAATCGTGAGGAAGTCCAGAGCGACCTCGTGATTCCGGAGTGTCGAGGGCGCGGCGTATGTATCCATTGCGAGGAAGTCTCACGCGAGAGCGCGACTCCTGGATACATTGTGAGGAAGTCCCGCGCGAGAGCGCGATTGTGAATACATGGCGAGGAAGTATCAGGCGGGAGCCACTGGTGCTGTAAGCCGGGGGCCAGGAATACAGTCTGAGGTGCAATATTTTTGTTAAATCAGGATGCGATCCCGGGGAGGAGCAGTTGTTAAAAAAACACCGTGGGCACGGAAATGGGGGATCGACCATACAAAAAACAGTAGACATTATAATCACTTCATTTTTAAACTGCTCGCGTGTCATTATTATCTGCTCGTGGTGAGGAAGTATCAAGCGGGAACCTCCTTGTTGTTGTTGTTGTTGCTGCTGCTGCTGCTGCTGCTGTTGTTGTTGTTGTTGTTGTTGTTGTTGTTGTTGTTGTTGTTGTTGTTGTTGTTGTTGTTGTTGTTGTTGTTGTTGTTGTTGTTGTTGTTGCTGCTGCTGCTGCTGCTGTTGTTGTTGTTGTTGTTGTTGTTGTTGTTGATGTTGTTGTTGTTGTTGCGCTGCTGCTGCTGCTGCTGCTGCTGATGTTGGTCTTGAAGTACTAAACAATTATTATTGATGAACCCCCCAGGCGCCCTGGCGCTCTCGCCTCGGCGCTGGATGCATTTTCATTGAAAATGAGGCTCACGCTCGAGCGGTTTGGGGGGGCGCCCAAACCAGCCCCCCAACAACAACAACAACAACGCTCCCGCTCGAGACTTTCTCCTTTTTTACCCAATGAGCCCGTGCTCTGGCTCGCCGACGAAAACCGCCGCCCAAGCAAAACCAACGCTCCCGCTCGAGACTTCTTCCCGTTTTACCTTGGGCTGGCGCGCTACTCTTTCTCTCATCGGCGCCGCTCACAGCAAGAACAACGCTCCCGCTCGAGACTTCCTTCTTTTTTTTGCTGAGAGCCGGTGCTTGTGCTCGCCGCCGAAGACCGCCGCCCCAACAAAACCAGCGCTCCCGCCCGAGACTTCCTCCCGTTTTACGCTGGACTGGCGCCCAACTCTCTTTTGAATTGGCGCCGCCCCCGGCAAGAACAACGCTCCCGCTCGAGGCTTCCTCCCTTTTTCCTGAAGACGGTGCTGTTCCTCGCCGCCGACAGCCGCCCCCGTCCCGACAAAACCGCGGCTCCCGCTCGAGACTTCTCCCCTTCTTACTCAAGGCGGTGTTCCTCCTCGCCGCCGGCAACTGCCGTCCCAACAGAACCAGCGCCCCCGCTCGAGTCTTCGTGTTGTTTCACGCTGGACTAGCGCCCTACTCTCTTCTGCATTGGCGCCGCTCCCAGCAGCAGCAGCACCCCTGCTCGAGACTTGCTCCCTTTCTATTTACGGCCAGGTCCTTGCCTCGCCGCCGACAGCCCCCATCCCCACCAAGCCAATCCTGTCGCTCGATACTTCATTGTTCTTTAGCCTTGGCTGGGGCTCCACTGGCAGTCTCGCATCGGCGCAGCAATGCGCGGGCATGTGTTTTGGAGGCGAGATATGTTGAAATTCCTCGGTTCCTCGGGGGAGGTGTTTGCAAGACCTCATTGGGCGGTATATTTGGGAATGGGAATAACGGACCCCCGCGATAGAACAATAATCCCCCATTATGGGGATGGTTATAATGATGGTCGCATGCTGCGTGTGGAAGCATCGCGCATGAGGGTGACATGATGCTGTTGCTGTTGCTGTTGCTGTTGTTGTTGTTGTTGTCGTTGTTGTTGTCATTGTTATTGTTGCGGTTGTTGCTGTTGTCGATGTCGATGTCGATGTCGTTGTTGTTGCTGTTGTTGTTGTTGTTGTTGTTGTTGTTGGTGTTGTTGTTGTTGGTGTTGTTGTTGTTGTTGGTGTTGTCGTTGTTGTTGTTAATGTTGTTGTTGTTGTTGTTGTTGTTGTTGTTGTTGTTGTTGTTGTTGTTGTTGTTGTTGTTGTTGTTGTTGTTGTTGTTGTTGTTGTTGTTGTTGTTGTTGTTAGTTGTTAGTTGTTAGTTGTTAGTTGTTAGTTGCTTGTTGCTGCTGCTGCTGTTGATGCTGCTGTTGTTGTTGTTGTTGTGAACCGGGTGCCAGCGGTACAGTCTAAGCCTCAGCATTTTCCCTTTTTGTAAAGAAGTGAACACGGAAGCATAATCCGCTGGACGGATCGCCACTTCTGCCACGCACCCAGGGGCAATGAATGACTGTTCGGCCTCCTCACCCTGATGATTGGAGCTACTTTGTTTCAATGCCGATCTTCAGGGTTCCTTCACATTCTGAGGGCGCATCCCTAGGATTGCCAGCGCCTTTGGGCTTGGCGATCTCAAAACGTTGGGATAAGCTCGGGGCTGGTCAGGAGCACGCCGAGTCGAGGGGCGAGGAGCTGAGTGAGGTGCGCCAGCACCTGGCCGCGATCCAGGACGCCATGGACGAGGTGCCCTTCCTTCGCCTGCTAGTGGGGGTCAGCCTTTTGAGGGTCAGGAAAGGATTAGCGCGATTCCTTTGATCGTCCTCTTTCGAGGCCGTACTTGCATCAAACAATATGCCTTCTGTGTTTTTCCTGGGTAACTCCTCTGGCAGTAATCCTGTTTCCTTAGTTTCCCCTTCGCTGCCTGTGACTCCCAGAAGTCTCACCTCCATTAGCAGGCACACGAGCCCCGAGATCTGGGCGTTGCGGAAAAATGTAGCATCGCACGCAGAACACATTACGACCAGAGCCCTTGGGCATCATTTCCCGAGCCGGAGCGATCTGTGACGATCTGGGGGCCCGAAACCCAGACCCCCGACGTCAACATTGGTCCATAGCGTCGACCCCCAGAGGTCTCGACTCCTTCCCCAGGTTGGAACTCAGTGCCCCTCTGTTGTGAGGCACTTGTGTTGGAGGAGGTACAGATGGCACGGTGTTTACACAATTGGGATGAAGTGGTAAATTCAATAGGGGTCGGGATTGAAATGCTTTGAAGAAAGGGCGCCCATCCGAATCGCAAGCATGTGGTATGTATATATATATATATATATACATATGTGTGTAGACATACAGAGTGCTCATTTCTAATTCGTGTGCTGCACGTGGCCTCCGCCGCCCCTTCGGCGCGCTTCATTTCTAATTCGTGGCCGGAATTGCAAATGACCAGAATTAGAAATGAACGCGCTTGTTAGGCCCCGGAGGCCCTAGGGCAAATGTATTCGAGCGCGCGCCCGAGTCTGGATCTGGGGCGCGCCATCCTCGATCGGGCACGCGCAGACGTGACACGCAAATCCTGCGTGTCGCGTACACGTGACACGCAAAATCTGCGTGTCACACGGAGCGCGCCTGGGGCGGGACACGCAGAATCAGGGGGGCGGACACGCAAAATCTGCGTGTCGCACGCCGGGGGTCCGGGGGCCGGGGTGGGGACACGCAGAATCTGCGTGTCACGCGGGCCCCACGGGGGGCGGTCACGCGCGTGTCCTGGGGGCCGGGGTGGGGACACGCAGAATCTGCGTGTCACGCGGGCCCAAAATCTGCGTGTCGCACGCCGGGGGTCTGGGGGCCGGGGTGGGGACACGCAGAATCTGCGTGTCACGCGGGCCCCACCCAGGGGGGCGGTCACGCAAAATCTGCGTGTCGCACGCCAGGGGTCCTGGGGGCCGGGGTGGGGACACACAGAATCTGCGTGTCACGCGGGCCCAAAATCTGCGTGTCGCACGCCGGGGGTCCAGGGGCCGGGGTGGGGACACGCAGAGTCTGCGTGTCACGCGGGCCCCGCCAGGGGGGCGGACACGCAAGATCTGCGCGTGGCACGCCGGGGGTCCCGGAGGCTGGGGTGGGGACACGCGGAATCTGCGTGTCACGCGGGCCCCGCCAGGGGGGCGGACACGCAAAATCTGCGTGTCGCGCGCCGGGTGTCCCGGGGGCCGGGGTCGGGACATGCAGAATCTGCGTGTCACGCGGGCCCCAGCAGGAGGGGGCCAAGGGCCGGGGACCGTGGCGCTCCCGGAGGTCCAGAGGCCGGGGGCCAGGGCTGGGACACGCAGAATCTGCGTGTCACCTCGAGAACGCCGCGCAGGGGCACGCAGAATCTGCGTGTCACGCGGGCTCTGACGGCGGGGGCGAAGGCGACACCTTGGGCGTGCGTGTCAGTCACTCGGCGGCCTTGAGGCTTCAGACTGACGTGACACGCAGGATTTGCGTGTCACGTCTATGCGACACGCAAATTCTGCGTGTCACGTCACACGGAACGTGCTCGGGGCGGCGTCGCGTAAGTAAACGTGACACGCAAATCCTGCGTGTCACCCGGAACGCGCTCGGGGCGGCCGGGCGACGCGACACGCAGGATTTGCGTGTCGCGTAGACGTGACACGCAAATCCTGCGTGTCACACGGAACGGCGACGACGTTGCTGTTGCCGTTATTCTTTTGATCTTTTACGAGCGTAAGCAGAAGCTGCGCCCTGACGCCTTGGAGACACGTTGGGCGTAGCGCTTGAGCACATGCCTTCCCGTCGGCACCTCTCATTTGCAATTCGTGGCCGGAATTGGAAATAACCGGAATTACAAATGACCGGAATTACAAATGAGTGTTCTGTATACATATATATATATATACATATATACATATATACATAAGTATATACATATATATGGGGATCGCTCACGTTTTGCTGTCCGTCGTCGTCGTCCTCGTTTCTCCCTTCTCCTCTGTGCCCCCTGGATGGGGTCGAAGGCGGCCGCGGCTCTGGCGGGGGAACGCCCCTTTCCTCCTCCTCCTTATTCATCGCTCCTCCTCTTTGCATCCCCGCTCCACCATCCGTTTTCCCACCTTGTCCCCCCCCCCTTGCTCCAAGAAAGGCAAGTGATATGGCCGCGCGCCCGCGTTGGTATTTTACCGCCCGTTCGATATCCGACCGAACACAGCGAACCAGCCAAGTATAGGGTGTAGCCAATGCAAACGTTCGGGGCGCACTCCAAGCGCGGGCGGCAACGGCCGCCAAACGCAGTAACGCAGTCGTAGAGCTAACATGTAAAGCGTTTGGTGCCTGCGGCAGCTCCCGCCACTGTGCCAGCGCAGCGGTCTGCACGGCCTCGCTTCGAGCTATGTTTGCTCAGTTGTCGGACTGGCGTCGGGCCTCGTTGGGGACTTCTTGGGGCCGTTGGGGCAGCCTTTGCGCCGCGTTGCACGGTGGCCGCCTTGTGCCAGGGATGCGTGTCTTTGCAGCCCTGGGTTAGGGAAGCGTGTATTCGCATTCTCCCCTAGCTGGGGACGTCGACTTCGGTTCTGGTTTTGCAAGATAGGGGTGCTTTCGAAATGGCGAGCTTTTACCTTCTCGACATGCACAGATTAAGCTGTGCTCTGGGTAGACACCTCGTGGCTTCAAATGTGTATTTGCGCATGTGGGTCCACCGTTTACACAGATCGTGGTCTGATCTGTGTGCACAGATCGTGCTCCCATCAGTGCATTTGGACTGTGCTTTTCGCGGGTGGTGGTGACTGGGCGGTAGCTTTCGCGTTTCTCTCGGCTCGTCCACGGCGGGGCGTTGCACGCGGGCGGAAAACACAGTTCGTGTGCCCAATTGTGCACGTGCTGCGCGCCACT